CCACTGCATGGTTTTGTACAGCTTACAAGCTATGAATGGTTTTTAACTTTATTAATTATTGGAGGGAAAAGAAGGTTTCATGAAATTCAAATTTCAGTTTCCATGAATAATGTTTTACAGTGACACCCATTTGTTGATGTATAATCTCTTGTTTTCACAGTACAAAAGTGGAAGTGAGTGTTGTGACAGAGATCATGTGGACTGAAAAGTCTAAAATGTTTCTTCTCTGGCCCTTTACGGAAAAAGTTTGCTAACCCCTGCTACATAGCTGTGAAAATGAATAAGTGATAGTCACATGCAGCACCATGTATGAACTTCACAAATATGATGCTGGGTGTAGGAAGTCACACACTAAAGAATGTATATCAGATTATTCCATTTGTACTTTAAAAATGAACAAGTAAACCTGAACTCCAGGATGGATAAACAAATTTTGCTATACTCATGCAATGAAATACTATGCATCAATAAAAAAGAATGAACTATTGATACACACAACAACACAGAAGCTCAAAAATTAGGTTGAGCTTAAGAAGCCAGTCACAAAAGAGTATCATACTTTAGATTCCATTTATGTAAAGTTCAACATAGGCAAAACTAATGGTCATAGAAGCCAGGTTACTCCTACAAGTATGCAGAGGTGGTATTGATTAGAAAGGATGCAAGGGAACTTCCCTGGATCATGGAAATGTTCTGTAATTACACGGGTATGCAAATATAAGAATTCATTAAGTTGTACACTTAAGATCTGTGTGTTTTATTATATGTAAGTTATGCCTCTAGTTTTTAAAAAATTTACTGGTTTCTAAATTAGTGTTTCTGAAAAATTCATATCAAAACCATGTGCCAGAGACGACAGTTTGGGATTTGTTGTTAGTTTAGCCTTAGTTAAAAGAAGTTATATTTGTAAATATCACATAGAAAGCATGGAGCAGCTCTAGAAAGAAAAACATCTGTTTAAAGACAAAGCAATATTTGCCTTAACTCTATTAATAAAATAACTTAATTTCTTATATTTAGATTCTAACAAGCAGTTTTCTATTTTTCCTCCCTTCCTCTTCCTTAGTAGCACATGATTCAGCCTAATCATGGATTCTAATTTTCTTTTCTTTAGTTACTGCAACCCATAACCCAACTTGAATTTTTCTACTAAGCTGACAGTCAGCCCATAGTTATTGAGAATGTACTATGTACAAACCCCAGTGCTGTACATACAGAGGGCTAAATATAGCCCTTGCCTTAAAAAATTGTCGAGAAAGAGAAGTCAGTCACAGTAATAGTAGTAATAATAATAATAGAAAACATTTTTTAATAGTAAATTTATATTAGGCACTATCCAAAGCACTTTATATGAATCACAACACCTTAAAAGGGCAGTGCAAGATGTTAGTGTAAGACTTATATCGTTCCTATGAAGAACCTCTCTCTTTTCTCAAGCAGCCCAACTCTGGCCCAACTTGCAGACCTCATGGTAGCAAAGTAAAAATAGATTACTCAATTCATTCTTTTTATAAGACAGTTTAGAAGTAATATGTTATTACTGAACATGGCCCACCCTCACCCACCCCCATACACATGCCCCATAATGTTTCCTTGAAAGAGATTTGGGTAAATATAAAGGTTTGGGGGGGTTGATGAATTAGTACCCTTATAAACTGGCACCCTTGATAACTGTCCGTCACACCACCGCATTCAGTTTTGAGGTAGATGCTATTTGTAATCCCTGTTTTACTGATGAGGAAACTGGGGGTCAGGCAAATTGAGTAATATGCTGTCTTAATTTTTTATTTCTGTGTAATGAACTACAACTTGGCAGTTTAAGACAATGCATGTTTATTATCTCTCAGTTTCTGTGGGTCATAAGTCTAGCACAGCTTAGATGGGTCCTCTGCTGAGTGACTTAGAAGGTTGTGGTCGAGGTGCCAGCTGGAGCTCTAGGTCCTCTTCCAAGCTCACATGGTTGTTGGCAGAGTTTAGTTTCTTGCATCTGTATGATAGAGTCTCGATTCCTTGCTGGCTGTTGTCTGGAAACTGCCTTCTGCTCCAGAGGTCATTGCCATATGACCTTCTCCAGGGGCCCTCCACAACATGGAAGCTTATTTCTTCAAGGCCGGCAGGAGAATCTCTGACCTTGGGGAGGGCACCTGACCCTCTTTAAAAGGGCTTACCTGGTTAGGTTTGGCCCACACAAGATAATCTTTCTTTTTATTAATTCAAAGTCAGCTGATTAAGGAGCCTCAGTTACATCTGGGATGTCCCTTTTGCCATACAGTGTAACATAGTCACATGATTGATATCTCATCATATTCACAAGTCCTACCCACACGCAAGGGGAGGAGATAGCACAGGGTGGGTACACCAAGAGGATGGGAACCTTGGGAACCACCTTAGGATTCTGCCTACTGGCATGTAGTCACCCACCAGCCAATTGGCAAAGCAGTGTTCTCTTTGAGTAAAGCATGCGTTAAAATCATTAAGTTGTACTACCTCTCAGAAACACAAATTAACTGCAAAAAAAATTATAGAATATTCCAAATACCTGACATTTGTGAATAATTTAAGTAAGTACCATTAAAATAAGTGTCAACTTTGTTATTCCTAAAAATGCATCTATGTAAATAATGTTAAGGAACAAAAGTCAGAATATAAAATAATACATACGTGCTGTCTATTATGTTAATAATACATGTGTTAGAAAATATATGGTAATGTAAAATAGTTGATTTAACTTTCTGGACCAACAAAAAAAATTTATCTTTCATTTTTAAAATATGATAATTCTATGAAAAGATAGTTTACCATACAAAGTAGCAGGTGATAAATGTTAAATATTTGTGTTGATAATAAGTGCTTCCGAAGTTCACAGTAGGAAAAATTAATGTGGACTGGAACTTCTTTTTAGGTGTAAAGAAAGGTTAATTTTTTTATGAGGTGGTTTATCATAAATTTTGCCTTAGGTCTAGTTCCTTTTCTGTAGCTGTAACCTGCTCAGTGGCATCTGCTCAGCGCACAGGATTTCATGTCTTCTTGAAGAGAACCAAGTCTTCTTCCCAGATGGGGCTCATTCTCATTTAAATAGAACTCCTTTAGAATTGCTTTAGAAACTAAAAATCTTAATCATTGTAATAGCCATCTTTAATCCTAGGATAGGAAACAATATTGCTGTATTTCTCTGTTAGTTTACATTTTTTACCAGTCAATTCATCATTTTCATCTATTGCTAACAAATTGGTGAGATTTTTCCCCCTTCTGCTAGGAATCTCAATTATTCTTTCTCTCTGTCTGTAGAATAGATAAGCATCTTAACTGTATATAAATTAGTTATTTAAAAAGAAGTGTGGTAGGCTGAATAATGCCCCACCCGAAATATGTCCATGTTCTAATTCCTGGAACCTGTGAATGTCATTTTATATGGTATAAAGTACTTTGTATGAAAAGTGACTTTACAGATGTGATTAAGTATAGCAGCACTATTTACAATAGCTAAGATCTGGAAACAGCCCAAGTGCCCATCAGTAGATGAGTGGATAAAAAAGCTGTGGTACATTTACACATTGGAATACTATGCAGCTGTAAAAAAGGATTTCTTACCCTTCAAGACAACATGGAGGGACCTATAGAGTATTATGCTAAGTGAAATAAGCCAGTCAGAGAAAGACAAGTATCACATGGTCTCACTTATATGTGGAATCTAATGAACAAAACAAACTGACAAAATAGAGACTGAGACATAAAAGCATGCAACAGACTGAGGATTCTCAGAGGGAAGGGGTGGGGCAGGAAGAGATCAACCAAAGAACTTATATGCATATATGCATAACCCATGGACACAGACAGTAGTGGGGTGAAGGCCTGGAGGAGGGACTGGTGGAGGATGGAGGGGATCACTGCAGCGGGAAAAGAGGGGACACCTGTAAAACTTTCAACAATAAAGATAAATAAATAAGATAGTTTAAGATTTTGAGATGAGGACATTATTCAGGATTACCTGAGAGAACCCAGTCAAATCAAAGCAGTCAAATCAAAGAGGGATACAAAACCAGATATCCCATGATACAGACCAGTAGTTCTCAAAGTATGCTCCCAAAGTAGCAGCATCAGCGACTTGTTACAAGTACAGATTCTTCAACTCTGCTCTAAACTTCCTGAATTGGAAACTCTGGGGATGAAACCCAGCAATTTAACAAGCCTTCCAGATGATTCTGATAGATGTTAAACTTTGAGAATCACTGATCTACACTAAGGTTTGTTCTCCCTGATAGAACAAGCTGGGAACTACAATGCTAGGAAAGCTCACTCTATTGGCCTGTCAAAAGGTAATTTGCAACTGCTTCCTTTCTGCCCGAGTTTTATCAGACTGTAATCACTTAAACAGCTTAATTGAAAAATCACTTATGTTTATAGCTGAAATTAAATATGTTTTGTATTTAAATAACCACTTTTGATTAGAATCATATTTTGTTGAAAGTGTTGGTTTTATCTGTGTGCTGTAAAAATATTTATAAAAACTAATCAAATTTCTAGTGGTAACTTACATTCTATTCAGTATAAGGTGAAAGGTTTTACATCAAATCTCATGCTGTGTAATGGCCAATCAAAGGGTATTTCAAAGAGTATTTAAAGTGGCTAAATGGATTTCCTGGCTTAGTATTCAAAATTAAACATTTTAAGATATTAACACTTAATGGGTTGTGTTTTTTTGCCTCTTTTCAAAGTTGATTGTATGTAACCCTCATCATTTGCAACTCCTGAAATCTTGCTTAAGCAGCAACACTTTCTTTTTCTCATCCTTACTGATTTACTGAAATCTCAATTGTTTGAAAATGGGTTTAGCTTTGTGGTACGTGTCTCTTTAGCTGTGTAAATACTAGCATTTATTATTTAAGAAGACAAAACAGTTTTGTTTTGATGAAAATATATCACTGATTTCTCAAAAGCCAAAAGAAAGAACTCATTTCATTGTGTTTCTATTTGACAAGTTATCTTGTGATTCCTTTTAGGTATTCAATAGGAAGAGCACTCTCCAGTCTTCGTCTATGGAGCTGGATGGTTCCTACTTGAGTGTAGCCAAATCACAAACCTACTGTCAAAGCAAGCAAAAGCCTAAGTCTGCAAACCAGAATTCAGCTTCCGAATCCATTGTGGAGTTCAGGAATAATTCTTTGAAACCATCAGCCCTTCATTATCCCAAAGAGGAACCAGACAAGGTGCCGTCAGAGACCAGAACATGTGATTATGGGTCCCCAGGGGAAAAACTAGCAGATGCAGTCCCTATAGAGAAAATTCCTTCAGAGGCATTGAAGATGAAGGAATGCCAGCACCTTAAGCCTACTCCGTCTAGACTGTGTTGTGGTCATAGACTTTCTGAAAATGCAGATCATGTTCCCATTGGCCATCCTATAGACATGGCCCCTCAATATTCCAAGACATTCCTGGAATCATGCCATTATTGTGGGCGTTCCTGGGCATCTCTGATGCATGGCCAAGGGATACTGCAGCCCAGTGAAACTGACTTCAAAAAGCAGCTTTCAGAAGATCGAAGACAGCAACTTATGCTTCAAAAAATGGAGCTGGAAATTGAAAAGGAGCGCCTTCAGCATCTGCTGGCCCAGCAGGAGACAAAGCTTCTCCTAAAACAGCAGCAGCTTCATCAGTCTCGCCTAGACTACGATTGGTGAGTCCTTCTTGTTCTTTCAGCTGTCTGTAGCTTGGAGAACACAGGATAAAATGACCTCTGTGCCACTATAACAAATAATCAGGAACAGAGGATCCTCAGGATCTTGACTTTCTCAGAATGCTTACAAACTATGACTACTGAGTAAATTCCTCTGTTATCTTTGGAAGAGTTGAAAGATGATCTTGTCTTCCAAAATGTTAGCTTAGAATATTTACTTCTGAGCAGTGCAGTATAATTTTTGCCAGATTCCGAAGGCAATCTTTTTAAATGATATTATCATTACACAAAATCTGCTGTTTGATGTCTTTGTAAAGAACATTAGGTGTTAAGTAAAAGCTTAAGATTTTGGGGTGTGGAATCCAATTGTAAAGAAGTATGATTAGCTGTCATCATTCCATATTTATGCCTATCCACCATAATATAAAATACAACAAATGATGGAAGCCTTCTAATTTCAACCCTTTCCTGTTTGATAATCAATTCTTTTAAACTTACCCACATTTAAACTATTCTTCCTTTAACAATTCTAAGAGTTTTTTGATGGAATCCTCAGGGTTTCTATATATAAGATTGTGCCATCTGCAAACAGACAATTTAACTTTTTCCTTTCTAACAGGGATACCTTTTATTTTATTTTTTTAATATATCTTTATTGATTTCAGAGAGAGGAAAGGAGATGGAGAGAGAGAGATGGAACCATCAATGATGAGAGTCATTGATTGGCTGCAGCCCACAGCCCAGGCATGTGCCCTGACCGGGAATTGAACACCCATCTCCTGGATCCTAGGTCGATGCTTAACCGCTGAGCCACTCCCGGCTGGGCCCTTTTATTTTTATTCTTGCCTAATTGCTTTTGCTAGTACTTTCAGTATTATGTTGAACTAAAGTGGCAGAGAAAGGGCATCTTTGTCTTGTTCCTGATCTTAAAGGAAAAGCTTTCAGCCTTTCACCATTGAATATGATGTGAACAGTGGCCTTGTCATATATGGCGCTATTATATTGAGTTACATTCCTTCTATACTCAGTTTCTCGAGTTTTTCATGAAAGAATGTTGCATTTTGCCAAATGCCTTTTCTGCATCTATTGAGATAATGATATGATTTTTATCTTACATTCTGTTAATGTGGTGAATTCAGTTTGGAGTATTTTGTTGAGAATTTTTGCATCTATATTCATTATGAATATTGGCCTATATTTTTCTTTTCTTCTAGTACCCTTTTCTTCTAGTATCTGGCTTTGGTATCAGGGTAATGATAGCTTCATAAAATGAGTTTGGGAGTGTTTCTTCCTCTTCAATTTGTTGGAAGAATTTTAAATGATTGGTATTACTTCTTCTTTAAATATTGGTAAGTCACTAGTGAAACCATCTAGTCTTGGACTTTTCTTTCTTTCTTTTTTTAATCCTCACCCAAGGATATATTTTTTTATTGATTTTTAGAGAGAGAGAAAGAAAAGGAGGGAGACAGAGAGAAAGAGAGAGAGACACTGATCAGTTGCTTCCTGTATGTGCCCCTACTAGGGATCAAACTTGAAACCTTTTTGGTACATGCAACGATTCTCCAACCAACTGAACCACCCAGCCAGGGCAGGATTTTTCTTTCTTGGGAGGTTTTTGGTTACTGATTTAATCTTTTTAGTCATTATTGGTCTGTTCAGATTTTCTGTTTCTTTATTATTCAGTTTGGGTAGGTTTATTTTTCTAGGATTTTATCGTTTCTTCTAGGTTATCCAGTTATTGGCTGTGCAATTATTCATAGAGATCTTTTGTGATTCTTTGTATTTCTGTGGTTGTAATGTCTCCTCTTTCATTTTTGATTTTATTTATTTGCGCCTTCTCTCTCTTTTTTTTTTTTAGTCTTGCTAAAGGTTTGTCAATTTTATGTTTTAAAAAAACAGCTCTTAGTTTCTTTTATCTTTTCTATTGTTTTTCTTGTCTCTATTTCATTAATTTCATATGCTTTGATCATTGTTATTTTTTTCTTTCTGCTAACTTTGAGGGTAGTTTGTTCTTTTTCTAGTTTAAGGTATAAAGTTAGGTTTTTTGAGATCTTTTTAAAAAAAAGTTTTAATTTATCTTTATTGTTGAAAGTATTACAGCTGTCCCCTTTTCCCCCCTTATTAATCCCCTTCACCCTGCACCCATCGGCCCCCCTTCCAGGCCTTCGCAACACTATTGTCTGTGTCCATGGGTTATTCATATATCCATATAAGTTTTTAGTTAATCTCCCCCACTCACCCCACCTCTGCCTTCCCTCTGAGATTCCTCACTCTGTTCCATGCTTCTGTGTCTCTGGATCTATTTTGTTTCTCTGTTTATTTTGTTAATTAGATTCCACATATGAGTGAGATCATGTGATACTTGTCTTTCTCTAACTGGCTAATTTCACTTAGCGTAATACTCTCCAGGTCCTACCATGCTGTCTCAAAAGGTAAGAGATCCTTCTTTTTTACAGCTGCATAGTATTCCATGGTATAAATGTCTGAGAATATGCTTAATATGATTTCAATCTTCTTAAACTTGTAGAGACTTGTTTTGTTTCCACGTGTGATTTATCTTTGAGAATGTCCCATGTGCACTTGAGAAGAATGTGTACTCTGCAGCTTTGGGGTGTAGTGTTCAGCAAATATCAATTAAATCCATCTGATCTAGTGTGTCATTTAGGGTCACTGTTCCTTGTTGACTTTTTGTCTGGAAAACCTATCCAGTGAAGTCAGTGGGGTGTTAAAGTCCCCGAGTATGACTGTATTCCTGCCAATCTCTCTTCTCCAGAAGTTTTTTTATATATGTAGGTGCTCCTATATTGGGTGCCTATATGTTTACAGGGATGTACCCTCTTGTTGGATCAATCCCTTTAGTATTATCTACTGACCTTTGTTGTCTCTTGTTATGGCCTTCATTCTGAAGTCTATTTTGTCAGATATGAGTATTGCTACCCCAGCTTTTTTTTTCCCCCCATGGAAAATTTTTCTCCTTCCCTTCACTCTCAGCCTGTGTGAGTCTTTTGTTCTGAGGTGGGTCTCTTGCAGACAGCATATATTTGGGTCATGTTTTCTTATCCACTGAGCCACCCTATGTCTTTTTATTGGAGCATTTACTCCATTTACACTTTAGGTTATTATTGATAGGGTACTTATCTATTGCAATTTTAATTCTTTATGCCTATGTTTCTCTCTCTCTCTATTTCTGCTTCTTATTACAGCAATCCCTTTAACATTTCTTGTAATGCCGGTTTGGTAGTGATAAACTTCTTTAGCTTTTTTTTTTTTGGTCTGGGAAACTCTTTATTTAGGCCTTTATTATAGGCATTTATTGCTTTAAACTTAGCTTTTAGAACTACTTTTGCTACATCCCATAAGTTTAGTATGTTGTATTTCTATTTTCATTCATTTCAAATTAATTTTTGCTTTTCCTTTTGACTTACTCTTTCACTCATTGATTGTTCAGGGGTATGTTGTTTAATTTCTACTTATTTATGAATTTTTCAGTTTTCCTCCTTTTACTGATTTCTGGTTTCATACCATTGTGGTTGGAAAGAATACTCGGTATGATTTCAGTCTTCTTAAATGTGTAAGGATTATTTTGTGACCTAACATGAACTCTCTGGAAAATACTCTGTTTACACTTGAGAAGAATATGTATTCTGTTGCTGTTGGATTGAATGCCTGTGTATGTCTTTTAGGTCTGTTTGGTTATTAAACTCCTATAGCATAATCTACATATTTGTCTTTGTGTATTACTGTGCATAGTTATTTGCAATTGTAGAATATCTTGTGACAATGATAGAAATGATAGTATCATTTTAACAATATTTTTCCCTCTTCATGGTTTCATGTCATAATTAAAGAATATAGTTTTACGGATTTTATTTCTAAAAATGAGCCAGAGAACATTTCTAAATAACTGAGAGAATGGGTAGTAAGGGTCACATATTTGGTGCCAGTGAATAATTGCCATCCTAAGTCCTGATTAGAACTTCATGCTAAGTTCTTTGACTGCTTTCCCTCTTCAGTACATTGAGGGTGGAGCTAAGTTAGCATTGATGGATAGAATTTCTTCAAGTTCTTTTGGGGAAATTTTCCTGTGACCCAAATAGAATGTTGGTTAGTGAGATGTGAGATGTAGCCATAGCTTTTTAAATTGTCAGTATGAGAAGTACCACCTATGGATGTTGAGCAGGGTCAGTTTTAATTAGTGTTACTAGAATTTCCATTTTAGACTCTGGTAACCAAAACACACTTGCTTAGCAATGGATATGGAGAACCTTTAAGTTTCTAGAGAAGAGATTTAAAGTGCTCCTAAAACATCTATAATGTTGAGTTTTTAAATGATATTCTAACTAACTCAGTCTTCTCCCCACTTCTCTATAAATAAAATTTAAATTATGGTCTATATATATGTGTATTTATATATGTTTTTATATATGTGTATTTAGGAAAAAACCATTTATTTTTTATAGATTTTGAATTTGAAAATAATTGCTGGATAATATAGCTAGAAGAGAAGGGCCTTTCAAGGATCACCATTCAGTTTCTTAGGGTACACAAGATAAGACATTCTCTAAATTTATTTTTACAGGTTAAGAACTCAAGCTATATTTAAGTCAAAAGAACTGGTTGCTGATAAAGAGCTTACCAAGCCCCGAGAGCTCAACCTGGATATGAATGGGAGTGACTCTGGACCAAGGTAAACTTGAGCAGTGGGTCAAGGCAAGAATATGTAGGATATAGATATTAAGGATATGTTTGGTATATAGTTATAGCTCCATATTGATGAATCTAGTTTTCTGATCATGTGAATAAATACATTCTCATTATAAATTTTTGAAATACATAAAAAAGTGTAAAGAAGAAAAAATAACTCATATTCTTACCATTCAGAAACGATCTCCTGAGCCCTTTTCCCTTTCAGTCTTTCTTTTATAATTATATATTCTATATTGAGTAATAGGGATTATGCTTATACAGAATTCTATTTTTTGCTTTTTTCACTATATCATATTTTCTGATGTCATTAAATTTTTATGAAAACATACTAATTAATTTACTCAACATATATTTATTGTTTGACATCTATTATTCAGTATTTATCTATAAGCTTGTTGGATAACACATGGTTTTGTTATTATAAATTATGCTTTGAAGACTTTTTCTGTAAGTAAATTATTTACTTTATATCTACCTATTTCCTTGGAATAGATTCCAATGAGTGGACTGCTGGCTCAAAGTATATATGAATCCTTTTAAGATTTTTGATTCACATTAACAAGTTGTTTTCTGGAAAAGTTAAATCAATTTACACTCCAAAGCTATGTTCGATAATTATTTTTTCATGAAATTTGAAGAGCTTTTGGCCATTATTTTTTCAAATATATATTTTTTGCTTTTTCTCTTCTCCTTTAAGACTACATTTACTTATATACTGGACCTTTAGATAGTGTACTATGGGCCCCTGGCTCTCTGCTAATTAAAAAAATTTTTTTTTCTTTATTTTTTTTATAGTGAATAATTTATACTGATTGATCAAGTTTATCAACTCTCATGTTATTTAGAGTGATTTCTAAAAATTCCAGACATTGCGTTTTTCAAGTTTAGAATTTTCGTTTGGATCCTTGTTGTAATTTCTATTTCTCTGCTGAAATTTCCTATTTTATTCATTACAAATGTATTTTTTAAAGTGCTTGTCTGCTAATTCTAACACTCGGGTCATCTTTGGGGTTTGTCTCCATTGATCAACTTTTCTCTTGAGTATTGGTCGTTTTTTTTGTTTAGTTATTTCAGATTGTTTCCAATGACTCTAGAATTCAGTTATAATTTTGAACAATGTTAATTGTGCTAGCAGCCAGCTAACTTGGCTGAACTCTAATTTCAAACTACTTTCCTTGAGTAAGTGGCAATGAAAAATATTACTGAGCTATTTTAACTTTACCTGGGATGCTTCAGCCTGCCCTGGTCATATGTAGTTCAGGGATCAGCCAGAACTGGCAGGGCTGTGATATAGAATTTGAGTCTTTTACTTTTTCTCTGTCTCATCCTAAAATTTTTCTTGTCCATCATCCTGGAAAGTTTCTTTACTTCTTTTCTGGGTTACATTCTCTTTTCATTGAATCACATGTTGTCTTCTTTTTAGTTTATACTTATCTTCCCGAAGCATATCCTTCAATAGCTTACTGAGAAAGAGTACAGAGACAATAATTTTGAGAACTCATCCCTCTGAAAAGTGTCTTCCTTCTGTCTTCACATTTAATATATAGTTTAGCTGGATATAGAATTCTTGGTTGTTATTTATTTTTCGTCAGGAGAGACTGAGGGTTATGTTTCATTTACCTTCTAGTTTTTGTTGCCATTAAGCAGTTTTGTGAAGCCCTGGCTGGTGTGGCTCAGTTGGCTGGAGCATCATCCCGTGCACTGGGGGGTCATGGGTTCAATTCTCAGCCTGGGTGTGTGCAGGAGGCAGCCGATCAATGTTTCTCTTTCACACTCTCTCTCTTTTTTATCTCTCCCCCTCTCCCTTCCTCTCTCTCTAAAATCGGTAAGAATGTGTCCTTGAGTGAGGATTAAAAGAAAACGTAGTTCTGTGTAATTTGAATCCTTATCTTTTTTATGTGACCTGTTCTTCATGTACACTATTAAAATCTTGTCTTTCTCTGCATTGTTCATTGGACCTTTTTAAATTAATTATACTGGGTAATCAGTGGATTATTGTTCTCTTTTTTTAATCCTTACCCAAGGTTATGTTTTTTATTGAGATTCTCAGGAGTTCTCTGACATGTTTCAGCTTAACCCCCTCCTCTGCCCTCATCAGCAAATATTTCAGCTTTGATTTTTCTACTTAGCTAATTGAGTTTGAACTCATACATCTGCTTTTTAGGCTTCTAAAATTTTGTGACATGTCTTGTTTGTTGTCCTTTCCTCTTCGTTGTTTTTTTTGCCATCACATAATTTTATGTCTTTTTATACTTTTCCTATAATTTTTAGAGATTTCAGAAGGGAATACGGATTTGTTTTCAATCAGCCATGCAAATTGGCTCTTTAGTGTTGATTTTTGTAAACAATATTTGTCAGTTTAATAGGTGAAGAAAATAGAATGCTTTTGTAATTTGCAGTTATTCAATACTCAATTAGGATGAATCTTTTTCTTTGTGTATTAATTAACCCTTTGTTTTTCTATGTAGAATTTTTGTTTCCTGACTGTATCTACATTTTTTATGTAGGGGCATTATATGTCTTCTATAGTTGATGTGAAAGAACTTTTATATTTGTTTTTAATTTAAAATATTTTTTTCTTATTAATGCTACTCAAATTTAGCTATACCTTTATATATTTACTTGCTTGCTAGAAAAAATATAAAATGCCAATTAGCCAAAAGAAGAAAATAACACATACCCATAATTGCATTGTTAAAGATAATCTTAGTATATAACTTCTAGATCTTATTTCATTATGAATATGAAATGGGTTTTATATATATATTTTGTTTCATATTCCATTTTATTTTTCATCAAACTTTGCTAAATTTCAAAAGAAAACACTTTATTATAAAAAGTAAACATCCAAAAACACATCAAGAAATGATCTGTCATCTTTCATTCCCCATTCTAATCCCTATTCTGACAGTCTTGGTTCAATTAGTGTTAGCATCCTGATGTGTATCCTTCTATACCTTTCTTTATGCTTCCATTATATATACAACATCTGTCAATATTTGAGATCAAACTGAACACATTACTTGTTCATTTCCCCCCCACTTAACAGTAATTCATGGTCATCTCTCAGATTTTTAGATGTAGAACTATGGTAAGTGGAATAATTGCCCCCAAAGATATCTGTGCCCTAATCCCCAGAACCTCTCGGTATGTTACCTTACGCGGTAAAGGGACTGTGCAGATATGATCAAGGGAATAGACCTTGAGACAGGAGATTATCCTGGATTGTCTGGGTGGTCCCACTCTAATCACAGGAGTCCTAGACAATGGAGAACCTTTCTCTGCTGGGTCAGAGAGATGAAATGGAAGGAGGATGTAAGAGTCCAAGCATTCGAATGACAGCTTGCCGTTGCTGGCACTAAAGATGGAAACAGGAGCTCACGCGCCAAGGACTACAGGTAGCCTCTAGAAGCTCAGAACAGTCATCAGCTGGCAGCCAGCAAGGAACTGGGGACCTCAGTTTTCCAATTGCAAGGAACTGAATTCTGCCAACAACCCAAATGAGCAGGGAAACATCCTCATCCAGAGCCTTCAGAAAGGAAGATAGCCCTGCCTACGCCTCAGTGTTAGCCCAGTGAGACCTGTGTCAGACTTCTGATATATACAAAACTGTAGAGTACTAAATGTGTGTTGTTTAAGCCACTAAATTTGTGATAATTTGTTATAGCAGCAATAGAAAACTAATTCAAATACTAACTTGTTTCTTATAAAGGCATAACAGTCCGTAGTTTCTATGTACACCATTAACTTATCCATTGTTGGACATTCAAGTTATTTCAAGTTCTTTACCACTACACAATGCTATAACAAACATGACTGTACTTATTCTTGTGTTCTGCTACTTCTGTTTTATTAGGATAAATTTCCCAAATGAAGTGGTTATTTTTACATAAGTATATTTCTATATAATTTATAATTATAAATTACAATAGTCCTTGCCAATTTTCTTTTCCAAAAAGTTGTAGTAATTCATACTCCCACTTGCAGTTAATGAAAGTTTTCATTACTGCTGTTCAGGTAAGTGTAGTGAATGCTTTGGAAGCTAGTGCTTCAGTCTAAGAGATATACATGCTTTAAAAGTCCATGTACATCTGGGCATGCTTGTCCTACATTCAATAATTATGACAAAAATAAGGTAAAACTATGCACTACTTTAAAAAAAAATCTTTCCTCAGATACCTTTGATAAAGCCTTTTAAAGTGTTAATCTACAGTTAGGAATAAAGAAGTTTGACAGTCATTTGCCAGTAGAACTCCCTAGATAAAATTTAATTTTAAGCTAAGTTTTGTTTATTTGGAAATTTAAATTATCTTAGTATTAAAAATACTCTGTGTATTTAAAATATTAAACTTACTCAAGTGAGGCATTAAGAATTTGGAACTAAAATAAATGAGATAATGAGGAAGTAAAAAACATATTTTTTATAATTAACAGCTCATTTTGAGTTAATTATATACAATTACCAAAATCTAATTGCAATTTATTTTCTATTATCTGTGGGAAGAATCACAGGCAAGGGAGCTTCCATTGCTGCCTTCCTGCATAAATGCTATAGAATGAAATTGAATAATATGTGAGGCCTTAATGACAAATAGGAGCAAACAGTAGGGCACAGCTGAGCCAAACCATTGGAAGATAATTATCACATGAGAGATAGTAATGACTTAAAAATTCACAAGCGACTCTGTTTGCTTATAGGTTCTCTGGTTTGTTTTTCACTTAGTTAGCTTGATGTTCTTTTGTTGGCTATGCAAAGATGACCCTTATAAAAGAAATAAAAAAAACACATGGCTTGCTAAGTGCTACAGGAGATGTAGAAAAGCCTGTACTAAGGCAAATATATAAATATTTATTATTTATATAGAATATAAGAGCTATAAAATAAATACAAATAAACTAAGAAAAGGTTTGTGGAAGAGGTAATATTTGACATAAGTTCTAGAATTTTGATAGGTTAGGGGTATCTAGGTGTATCTTGCG